GGGAATGATGTGATTAATTTTGTGAAGGCTTGGTGGCGTGGAGAGGTGGAGTTGACTAATGTCAATCAAACTTGCATTGTCCATATCCCAAAATGCAATTAGCCGAAGAGAATGTCGGAGTTTAGGCCAATAAGCTTGTGCAATGTGTTGTACAAAATTATTTGGTGCCAATAAATTAAAACCCATGCTCGGTTATGTCATCTCTGCAAATCAAACTGCCTTTGTTCTAAATAGGTTGATTTCTAATAATGCTCTCATCGCCTTTGAAATTTTCCACTCAATGAAACGGAAAAGGGAGGGTCGGGATGGTTTGATTGCACTTAAGATTGATATGAGTAAAGCTTATGATAGGGTGAAATGGATGTTCCTTGAGAAGGTTATGATTCAGATGGGGTTCCGGATTGCTTGGATTGGTAGGGTGATGAAATGCTTGGAGAGTGTCTCTTTCTCTTTCAAGTATAATGGTTCGATTTCGGGTTCCTTAAATCCTTCGAGAGGTCTCCGACAAGGAGATCCTATCTCTCCATATTTGTTCCTTATTTGTGCTGACGCCTTTTCCACTCTAATTTCAAAAGCAGCTCGTGAGAAAGTGATTCATGAGGCTAGGGTGTGTCGTGGTGCACCGAGGGTGTCTCACCTATTTTTTGCTGACGATAGTATCCTCTTCGTGAAATCAAGCTTGCAAGAATGCTCTAAGATTGTTGATATTATCAGTAGGTATGAAAGAGCATCGGGTCAGAAAATTAATCTAAGAAAGACTGAGGTTGCATTTAGCAAATGTGTTAGTATGGAAAGAAGAAATGCTATTCTGGGAACTCTTGGAGTGAGGGAGGTGCATAAACATGAGAAGTATTTGGGTATGTCGACAATAATTGGTAAATCAAAGAAAACAATTTTTGCTTGCTTAAAGGAGCGGCTTTGGAAAAAATTATAAGGATGGAAAGAAAAACTACTCTCTAGGCCGGGTAAAGAAATTCTCATTAAGGCGGTGGCGAAAGCCATTCCTACGTACATCATAAGTATTTTCAAAATTACCGATGGTTTGATCGATGAAATTCACTCCTTGTTAGCCAAGTTTTGGTGGGGTTCGGTGGGGTCGGAGAGAAAGATGCACTAGCATAAGTGGGAAAACCTTTGCCTTCCAAAATCGAAAGGGGGTCTGGGTTTTCGTGATTTTCGTGTGTTTAATCAAGCTTTATTAGCAAAGCAATGTTGGCGATTATCAAAGGACAACACTTCTCTGTTACATGTTATTTTTAAGGCCCGATATTTCAATAATTCTGATTTTCTTGATGCGAGACATGGGTATGATCCGAGTTACAGTTGGCGTAGTATATGGGGTGCGAAAGGTCTTTTGCTTGGTGGCCTGAAATGGCGAGTTGGGGATGGATGTGTAGGATGAAGCATGGCTCCCTGGTGATATCTCTACTGTGGTGCCTTCGCCAATCAGCAATTTAGACCTCAAAGTGTGTGATTTAATTGATAGCGAGCTGCATTGCTGGAAGGATGAGGTAATTACTTCGAACTTTAGTGCGGCTGACAGATTTGCAATTCTTGATATCCCTTTGCCTTCCTCTGACCAAAAGGATGTGCGTTACTGGTGGCCATCGAAGGATGGTTTTTTCTCTGTTAAGAGTGGGTATTGGCTGGGTCAACTTGGTCACTTGCGAGCATGGGATTTATTTCATGGTGATAGTTCTAGCTCATTATGCACTACAAGAATCAGGTCAAATAACGACGGACCAGTTTCGACGGACATGAAAATCCATCGGAAAAATTGATATTTCCGACGGATTTAATTTTCGTCGGACAATTTCGACGAATTAAAAAATTCCGTCGGAAATCCGTCGAAAATTTCCGACGGAAAATAAATCCGTCGGAATAATTGGACATTCCGACGGAATAAAGATCATTTCCGACGGAAAAATATTCCGTCGAAAATTTCCGTCGGAACATTTACTATAAAAAAAATAAAAAAAAAATATTTATTTACCACCTAACCCTAAACTTCTTCTATCTAGCCGCCACTTTTTTTTCCCTCACTTTTCTTTCCTCTTCTTTCTCTCTCCTTAACCCTCCTCCTTTCCTTTCTTCTCTTTTTCTCTCCTCATCACCTCCGTCCGCCCCTTCTCTCTCCATCCGCCCCTTCTCTTTCCTCCTCCTTTCTTCTCCTCTTTCACCCCCTACCACCACCAACAACAACACCATAAAACACCAAGCAACAAAACCGGCGACTACAACAACAACACCGGCGACTACAAAAACACCGGCGACCACAACAACGACGACCAAAACAAGAACGAAGACCACGTACATGCGCATAGATCTAGTTAATTTTTTATGAAATTGCAATGATAATTTATAAATTTTATTAGATGATTGTATAATTATATATTTCCTTTAATTTTTGTGGTTTAATTATCGTTTTTTTTTCAATTTTCTTTATGAAATTCTTGCTAAATTTGTAGATCTATTGGTTTTGATTTATTTGTGTGGTGTTTTTCGGTTTTATTGTCTCAATTTTCGTATTTTTGGGTTGATTTTCGATTATGGGTTATTTTCGGTTTTTTTTTTGCTAAGTTTTGTGTTTTTTGGGGTTTATTTTTGGAGTGGTGGTGTTTAAAGGTGGGAAGGGGCTAGGGTGGGTGTCGGTGGCGGTGTTTGAAGGTGGATTGGTGTCTGGTGTGGGTGTCGGTGGTGTCAGTGGCGGTGTTTGAAGGTGGATTGGTTGTTGGTGTGGGTGTCGGTGGTTTCGGTGGTGTCGATGGTGTTATTTGAAGGTGGGAAAGGGGCTGCTGTGGGTGTTGGTGGTGATGTTTGAAGGTGGGAAAGGGGCTGCGGTTAGTGTCGGTGTGTAGTGGGGTTTAGTGGTGCAGGGTGGTTGCTGGTGATGTGGGCTGGTGGTGGGGTGGTGCGAGGCGTTTTTTTTTTTGTTTTTTTAAAAAAATTTTGCGACGGAATTTCCGTCGCAACATACCGACAGAACTCAGTCCGTCGAAAACTTGCGACGGACTTTCTCGGGCCTGAAAATATTTTCCGGCGGTCTGAATTCCGTCGAAAATTTCGTTGGAATAGTGTTTTCGACGGAAATTCCGTCATAAAAAGCCCATTTTCCGACAACTATTTCCGACGGAATTCCGTCGGAAACGAGTTTTCCGACGGAAAACAGGGTGTTTCCGACGGAAATTTTCCTTCATTATTTAGCTGTTTTCTAGTAGTGATGGAAACTGATTTGGAATGTTGGAGGTCCTCCAAAGCTTAATCATTTCTTATGGAGTGCGTGTAAGGCCTCATTGGCTGTGACAGGAGTAATGTATTGGAGGCATATCAGGGACTCACCTCAATGCTCTGTATGTGGAAGTGGAGAGGAGTCAATTACTCACACTCTCTTTGAGTGTACTCATGCTACTGCTATCTGGGCAAGAAGTGATTTTGGCAACCTACTACGCGATGCACATATGAGTTCTTTGCTGCAACGTTAAGTTGGATGGCGACAAAGGTAAATAAAGAACGTTTGAGCATTTTTGCTTCTTTGGCATGGGCTATTTGGTATTGTAGGAACTAGATTGTGTTCAAGGGGGATTTTGGTATTGATGATGTGCGTGTGGAGCTGGTTTTGTTAAGTTTTTTTTTTTACCATTGTGCTTATAATAAGAAAGTTTGCAAGCCAAGTGGTAGGGGTGCACCTGTGATGAGTGCTTCGTGGCAGCCTCCCTTTAGTGGAAGGGTCAAGATTAATGTTGATGAACACGTTATACAGGGCAAGGGTGTTCAATTTGGTGCGGCAATTAGGGGGTCAAGTGGGCAACTCCTTGCAGCTGTTTTGAAACATATGGAGGTATGTTGGAGTGCTGCTATGGCAGAAACTAGAGCTGCTCGTTTTGGGGTTAAGTTGGGACGCAGGCTTGGTTTTGAAGAAGTAATCCTGGAAGGTGATGCGCTGCAGGTGGTTCGTGCAATCCAAGCAAAGCAAAAGGTTCGTTCTCCTATTTTTATACTGTACGAGGATATTCGTGAAGTTATTTCTTTTTTCTCTTATTTCCAATGTAAGCATGTAAGACGCGGTGGTAATTCTCTAGCGTATTTAGTTGCTAGATGGGATGTGAATCCAAATTCGAAGTTACTTTGTACGGATTCTTTTCCCCATAGTCTTTATACTTTGGCGGAAATTGATTTAATATAATGATGCTTACTTGGTTTCAAAAAAAAAGATAGTAAGGGAATAATGTCTTGTAAGATAGCTACAACAAATCCAAATTCCGAATAATGATTAGAGGCTATAAAATCCGAAATAGACTCCATGTTTGAAATTTATGTTTAAAACTTGATTTATTTTCACGAGGGTGAAGACCCATCAATCGCAAATAAGTTTTCAAAGTGAAAACTAACAAATGTGGAAATGTATATGAAATACATAGCTAGATTGGTTGAAAAGGATATAATTAAATTTATAGAGTTGATTTTAATAAATACTTATTCACCAATCGGAATGCTCAAGTCTTTTCATGTTTATTCTAGCAAAATTGCACATATGATATATGGAAAAATAGATACAAAAACCGCCTTTCTAAAATAGGATTTTTGAAGTGACTATGAAAATAGTCCAAGGGTTTTGAAAATCTAAAAAATGTTAGTTTTGAAAGCAAGCTAAAGAAATACATTATGGGATTGAAGGAAGCATTGCATAAAGGAAGTGGAACATGTTTTCTCATAAAGTTAATAAAAGAATTGACTTATGGAGAAACATTGAAATACTTACACTACTACAAAAAGCGTACTTTTTGGACGCTTTTCGTTCGACGCTTTTAAAGTGGCGTTAGTGTATGATTTTTGGTACCACCTTTTCTCGACGCTTTTTAAGGTCGAAGATTGTCTCGACACATAAAAGTGTCAGGAAAACACGTGCTATGCACGTGAGTTATTGTTTTTGCAATTTTTGAAATCTTTAATGAAAATATTAGCAGGTTATATTTTCCCCAAATTCAAAATTAAACTGCCCACATTCTGCTCCATTGCTCATCTCCTCTAAACCCACGACTCCTTCATCAGCAACAAAAGAATTTTCACAATTTTGATTGCTAAACTTCAAGGAATTTGGGGGTTTTTTGCTCGTCACTTTCAATAATTTCATGTATCAACTTACAATGTGCTGTACAATATTGTTGCTAGGTATATATCTATCGTTTTTAGTACCCTAATATCTCACAATTCTCTAAATTTCGTTTATATTGGGCTTATTCTTTGCATGTCTTCGATTTTGAGTTGGTGTAGAACAAGAATCGATCTCTTATTGCGAGGTAATTTTTTGCCCTTAATTAGATAATTCAATTTCTTTTTATGTTGTTTTTTTCATGAATTCTGTTTTCAAATCCATGGTTTCCATGTTTTTATTTTTATTTTTGTAAGTAGTTTTTTGGTTTTTGTTATGATTTTTATGGCGAATTTTAGGGTATTAGTTTGAAATTTTATGGGTTTTTACATGAATTTTATAGGCTTTGAATTTTATGGTTTTTGATATGAATTTTATAGGCTTTGATTTTTCTAGTTTTTGAATTTTATGGGTTTTTGATATAAATTTTCTAGGGTTTTACTAGTTCTCTGCATTCATGTTATACTTTAGGCTTGGTGTGTTGCTACGATTGCTGTGCTAGCTATTGTTTTGGACTTTAGTTTAGGAAGTTCTAATTACAGTTGGTAGATGCTGAGAAACAATGCAGTAATGTCGTTTACTGTAACTGCTGACATCCCTTTTCACAGTAAACCTCAGATTTTCGGATAAGGTTCTGTTTTTCGCGCCACCAACTCAGTACAGACAGTTTAGTTATATTCTCATTCAAGTATTATACACCACAATGTTAGTAAGTATTGCCAAATTATGTAACAGACCACCATCTATATATTAGTTAATATAGTAATTACGAACTTTAATTTGTCTTTAGCTATTTGATTAAAGACAAAATGATATAATTAATTGTTGCTTTTTCATTAATGAAAGCATTATTGTAATATACTAGTGCAAAAAAAAAGAGGGAAAAAAGTGATGTTGATTTGTTGGCATGTGATTTTGATAGTATTCTAAAGCTTAGTCTGACTTGTCGAGTATTTTGTACTCTTGTTAACAAAATTATGGAGTATTTCTCTTGTGTAAAATTAACTTTTACAGATTTTTAACTTTTTTGGGGAGTTTATATCCGTAATCTAAGTCAATTTTTTGGCATGCATATTCCCCACCAAACCATTCACTGTCTTATGTACCATGGAAAATATAGAAGAATACATTTGTTTTTTCAGTTGGTTAGGCATACCAAAAATGAACACTGGAGGATGGGCAGTCTATCTTGCAGCAATACTGTATATTAATGCCATGCCTCAACTTTTATATTTTCGCTCCTCACTCAAATCAGGTTCTTAATAACACATTCAAAGATCAAACTCGGAGTTGAGCAAATACCTCCTTTCATTTAATAAATTTAGCTTGACTTGAAACATAACTATTCTGATGGTTTCCTTTGAAATGAAATGATCAGTGTGACTTGTTAGTTAATGGATGAATAGACCTTACAAAAAAGAATTGCTTAATTATTGTATCTTTTATTTTGCTCATAAAGTTTCTTCTCATCCTTTTTTCTTGCATCTCAACATGGTTTTATAAGTTTCATCTCAGGCTTTGCATCCTTTAAAATGTTAAAGCTTACTAACACTACCTATTCTGTTTTCAGCCTTGTTCAGTATCTTGAAATGCACAGATTGTTTGATCTTACTGTACTTTTGCGACAAAAGAAGGTACACTCTACCTTAGACATTAGCTCAAACTAGAATACATTTTTAAAGATTGTGGCTTGATAGTGTATGTAATATACTTATTTCAATTGTGTAGGCTTGATTAGATTTCCCTAATTGGATGATTCATGTGACACTATATTCTAATTGCTTGAATAACATGTGCCTACTGCCTTGGAGTCATGTTTTGTAGATTTTCAGTGTGGTTTGTTGAATGAGAAATTAAACAAACTTGCATAATTTTTTTTTTGTTGTTGCATGTTTCTTTCTAATTTTCTTCTTTCACCCCCAACAAGTTTGTAGGCTTGAATTACTTACTGACATTATTTTTTAGTGGATAAACTTCTTGATATTATAAGTTTGATCTATGTCTATTTACGTAGTGAAAGTGATGTCCCTATTATATATTAGTTTAACGATCCTTGTAACATGTTTTTTTTTATTTATTTATTTTTTTGATGTCATTGTTTTTAATTAGCAATTAACTATATACTTCTTTGTAGACATGGATACTAGTTGGATTGATTTACCAAGAGGTGATCCTGGATATTTTAAAGGTTGCATGAAATTCTTGAAACTTGCTAAAGAGACTATTTTACCAAATACATGGGAAACTAAATGCCCATGTAATAAGTGCAAGTTAAATAAAACGAATTCTGTAGAAGAAGTTGGAGGGCATATTTTATTTTATGGTTTTTATAAAAACTATAGAAATTGGATATTTCATTATAAAGATGAAGGGAGTAAGACCTATGATCTAAGTGATGATAAAGTAAATGCAGTAGGTCGAGATGATATGGACGAGTTACTAATAGCAGCTTTTAGAGTTAATACATAACAAACCGACAAAACTCAAGATCCATCATTTAATGAACAAAGTATTGAAGATGACAATTCATATGACATGGATGTTGGGTTTACCATTTATCGCGAGGTAGATGATGAGTGTTTCGGGGGTTTTTGTCCCTTGGGAGAGTTACAACACTGAGACTGGATTCAACAAAGGACGCCTGCACCTGCAAAGCAAACGGACCGCCGGATGGTCGGTGGTCCGCCTCCGAAGATTAATTTAGTAAGCGTTCGGTAATAAAACGTGCGGAAGTAAAGTTTATCTGCTCGAATTCCAAGCTCAGGTAAAGTGTTGTGTGTTCCTTGAAAACGACATCTCTGTGGTAAGTGACGTGTTGTCTCGTATTGCGTGTATATTCTCTGTTTTGTCATAAATGGAAGAATGTCCCTATTTATAGAGTCCTTTTGGAAAGTGTGCCCTCCTAGGATCTGGTGACCTAGGAATTAGGTCACGCCGCTTTTTAAAGGGCCCCTTAAGATTTGGGCCTCGAAAGCCGCCAATCCCAGGGGGCAATATCTGCTCGACACGTGTCACCATCTGGATTGGGCCAACTAAGTGCCCCTTCCAGTGACACGTGTCATGCTCTGATTGGGCCACTTGGCAGGGTATAAAATACCCAAATCATTTTCCCCTCACAGGGGTCACGTGTATTGCACGTGGCACCTGTGACAGCTGTCAGTATTCGAGTGGTCGGATTCAAAAAGTTACTGCTGGAGGGAAAATTTTTAGAGTTTTACCCCCCTATAAATAGTAAGGTTTGACCCCCCCCCTTTAGATTCACACCGTTGCGAATCTTTGGAGAATCTTGGACTTTTTGACTTAAAGAATCTCAAAATTCCCTAAGTGTTTTAACTTTTCAAGCATCCGACACTCGACCAACTGTCCGACCGTTCTTCAGCCAACCAAGCGTCTTTCACCCTTCTTCTAAAGGTAACGCCTGTTTTTTCTTCATCTTACTCTTCATTTTCTCTCTTTTTTTTCGAAAAAATGGTTTCCCAATCGCATGCGGCACGACATAGGATAGTAATCAGCCGGTCACCGGGGACGGCTGAATCTAGAACTAGCAGCGCCGAATGCTTGGCCAAAGACCCTGCTTTGCGAACTTCTCCGAATCCGACCGTTTCCGTGTCTGTGCAGGACACTATGGCCAGAACCAAAAGAACAGCAAGACAATATAGCTCCGATGGAACGTTCTACCATTCGGATGGGTCGACTGTATATTCAGACGACTCAATAAGAGTATCTCGAAGTGAGGTGTCGGAGCATCCTAACAACCCTTCTTATCTTCCTCCATCCCCCACCTATTACCATACGCCCACATCTAGTGGAACTCCTAGTGATGGAATCCTGAAGGAGGCGGATGAACAATATCAACCCGGGCCTTCTGGACAGGCGCCAGAAGAGAGTCTGGGGGATGACCCCGCTGGCACCAGTCGGCGGTCCCCTAGTTCTGATGAGAGCTCTGATGACGAGTCGGCCTCGTCATCTTCTTCAGAGAACGCCTCCATAACTTCGGAGGAGGCAAGAACGAAAATAGATTATGCCAGGGAGTCCCTTGCAGTGGATAAGGGGGAAAGTTGGGCCGAGCCAAGCGCTTCTAGGTGCTTGGAGAGAGCCCCCTACTATCATCATGTTCCGCACAGCAGGCGAAACTCCATGGAATCCAGCCTTGCCAATTTTAGGCGCAAGGTCGTTCTAGGCTATGGCTATACTTTGTCGGTCCCTAACAAGGACGACACCATTACCTGGCCGAGCCTGGCCAGCTATGAGGACAGAGCATTCGGCTGCTATGAAGCGGCCTTCCAAGCTGGCCTCCGCTTCCCTCTCCATCCGGTCGTGGAGAGGATCTTGGATGGATACCAACTGGGTATCTGGAAACTTATACCCAACTCCTGGATTAATATTTTGGGGTACGTTGCCGCCTGTGAGATGCTGCAGGTGGAGGCGAGCTTTGAAGCGTTCGCCCACATGCACTATCTGAGCAGGGCGCCTGCTAGGGGCGGTGAGGGCTGGTACACCTTGACCACTTGCAAGGGGAACATGATGGCTGTTGGCAAAGAGAACAAGTGGAAAGACTGGAGGACTAAGTTTTACATAGTCAAGTCTGCCGACAGCCGCCTGAACCAAAAGTATAACAGGTGGAATGAAAATCCACCTCTCCTAGCAGGCAAGAGTGCATTGCCGCCTCTTCATAGGCGGGCAAAGGAGGAGATCATGGACAAAGGGTTGTTTACCGTGTCCGTGAGGACGAATGATGAGGGGGACAAGGAGGTCACCCCTCAATGATATCTCCCTTTGTACAAATGGTTTGAGGAGGGAACGTTCTTAGCCGCCTGTGGGCTAAGCTCTTAAATGCCGAGAGGTAGTCGGTCGTCTGTTTAATATGCAATTTAATTTTGCTTTTCAATACTTGTTTGATGGTGCTAACACTTGTTCATTTTTGCAGACAAGGCAATGGAGAAGCTCTCGGCCTCAAGGAAGTCGGCTGGCTGCTCGATACAGATCAAATGTCCTAAACAGGGCAGAGGCAACCACCCACATCAAGGTGGATGAGCAGAAAACTGGCGGCACCCCCAAGGTGAGAACTTGTTATACTTGCCATTTCCGACTAATGCTAAATTTGTCCGAATGATTTCTGACTTGTTTTATCTTGTGTTGATGTAGGGTGCCCCTACCAAATCTTCCTCAAAACCATCCGACCCTAAAATCCAAAAGACAAGGGCGGGTGATGTGAGCGCATCCGGCAAGGGCGGCCAGAAGCACATTGCTCAGAAGCCCAAGAGAGGCCTAGACGCCTCTTCTCTCGAAGCTGATTAGGGGATCAGCAAGCCGGATGTCCAGAGGACATCGAAGGGTGGCTTCAAGCAACCCACCACTGCTGTCGGCTCAGCAGGAGAGAGGAGGAACCACAGGACGACGATAAAAACCATTCGCCTTTTTTGTTCTTCCATTTAGATATATTTGTGTTATTTTCTAACTTTCTTTCCTTCTCAGTCCTTGTGCAGAGGCCGACTGTAATCCAGATGCCCAAGTCCATGCTGAGGGCGGTTGATCCTGACGACAAAGCGTCTGTCAGAGGGGTCGACACTCTGGACTTGGATGGCATCTTGGGGAACCTCTGCGAGGTATGAGTCTTAACTTAAGCAATTCTTCTCTTTTTTTTCTTTCTTTCTTTTTGCTCAAGTCTTTATTCGCCTGGTTTTAACCATTCGGCTCTTTTTGCAGGCCATGCTGCGCGTCCAAGGGCTCAGGCAACCCCTCAAGGACAAGTCCAAAGAGGTAACAGCCGCTAAAGCTCGGGTCGATTCCGCCTTGGATCGAGCTCAATTTGATATTGCTCAAAATGAGCTTCTGACGCTTGATATGATGTATTCGCAGGCGGAAGCTAATATGCAGGTGAAGAAGGATCTGGACTCGGCCCGCCTGCACATCACTTCCCTTAAGCAAGAAATCACAAGTCTTAAGGAGAAGCTCGAGCCTCTTCAGGATGCCAAGGAAGAGGCCGAGAGAGCCAAACAGAGGGTGGGCCGCCTGGAGCAGCGCCTCACCAACCAGGAGCATCAGCTGAAGACCAAGTTTGAGTCCGTAGCTGAAAAAGGGAGAGAAGCTCTTGTTAAGCAAATGATGAGCGACTATGATGCCATCATGCGGGACACTTGGGCGGCTGTGCAGCCAGACTCAGACTATCAGACTTGGAAATCCAAGTTTGATGAAGCCAGCAAAGCATTCGACGCTCGCCTTCTTGACGAGGCTGAGAATGAAGCTAGGGCTGCTGCTGAGGCCGAGGAAAGCTCTGGGTCCGACTCTTCTGGGGAGTCGTCCTCTGGTGGAGAGGAGGAAGATCAGGTGGAGGAACGAGAGAAAAATGATGAAGAGCAGCCGAAGGGCAACAGGCCGGCTGCCAATGAAGAGACTCTCCCCTGATCACTTAAGCTTTTTATTTTTTCTGCGGTCGAATGGCCATGTACTTGCTTTTCCGGCCTGCATGTCGAGTATTGATGTTTCTTTACCGACCGAGGGGTCGGGTACTTTGACAATTTCTCTGGCTTTTCCAGTAAACAATCTTAACTAGTCGTCTGATGGCGATTGGTCTTTTTAATTTAAATCATTCGGCCATTTGGCTGAGGTTATTCATATTGTTGTCCTTTGCATTTTGAATTTTTCATTTCATGTTTTTGGCTAAGTATTATAACCTGTATACCATGCGAATGTTCTTGCCCCTGGACGGATGTCGAGTGGTTTCGGTTTATTGGATTGATTGACTTAGAAATTATTGATACTTAGAAGAGTATTCATGGTTTCTAAGTCAATCAATCACTATGGTGATTGCCCCAAACCACTCGGCAGACGTCCATCCAGAATTGGCAACTTAAAGTTTTCATTCGCCCATTGGCTCAAACAAAACTCAAATTTCCAACTTAGCAAATTTTGCTAGGAGAAAACTTCCGCCTGTTTTGCCCCGTGAGCTAAAAACAGGCGCATCCGGCCATAGGCCTCTGAGATAAGATGAGTTTATAACTTAGCAAATGCTCTTTAAAAAGAATTGTCTGCCTGTCTTGCCCCAAAAGCAAAGAACAAGCGTCATCCGGTCAAAGGCCTCATTAGGTGCTTAAGCAGTTAACTCGTATATTAACAAGAATGTTCCGCTTGCTTTGCCCCTGGGCAAAAACAGGCGCATCCGGCTTAATGCCTTATTAGCCTCTACTCATGAAACAGTGACCATTTTCGAGCTGTGCTAGAACAGTTAGAAAATTCAGGCCTTTTAGATTTCACTTTCGATTAAAACAAATGACTGCGAATGCTGCCTTAACATTCGGTAGGGCCGCTTGTTATGTTTGTAGAGCAATGTGCCACCCAAATGGGAGATGCTTCTCCTCGACGAATTCGCCCGAATGGACGTCGCCGGTTATCTGACTCATGTTGGAGCAGACGGTCATACTCATGTTGGAGCAGACTGTGACCATTAGGTCTCTTTTTGTTTATTAATATCCGGCCGTGGGCCTCATCATTATTTTATCTGGCCTTAGGCCTCTTAAATGGTTGAGTAAATATTTGTTAAGTGTCGATATTAACTTAATGAATTTCGTAGGAACGACTGTTCTAAAGCAATCGGCTCCTTCAGAAGGATTGGGGCGTCTGCTGTTGGGACAGACGCTTTCCAAATGCATTGGCCGTCTGTACTTTGTACAGGCGACACTAAGAAACTTAAATAAAAAGACAAGTTAGGAAATGAATGCATATTCTCATTAACAAAACTTGAGATAACAAAATTGAAGTCTTTACATTCGTACTTAGAAGTAGTACTTTTTTAAGTTGTCTACATTCCAAGTTCTAGGCAGCTGCCTGCCGTCTACGTCTTCCAGGCGGTAGGTGCCGTCTCTTACTTCCTCATAGATTCGGTAGGAGCCTTCCCAATTTGGGGTTAGCTTTCCCTGTTCATTCGCCCTACCGACTGCCTCCATTTTCCGTAACACAAAGTCCCCAACTTTGAGAGGACGCTTGTGTACTCTCTTGTTGTAAGCTCGAGTCATTCTTAGACAGTATATCTCATGACGCAAGGCAGCATTGCCCCTGCGCTCTGGAAGTGAGTCCAATGCTAGGCGCATGGCCTCCCAGTTCGCCTCTTCATCATACAGCATGATTCGAAGAGTCGGCTCATAGTGCTCAATGGGCAGAACAGCTTCTGCTCCATACACCATAAGGAATGGGGTTTCTCCAGTTTCCCCTTTAGCAGTCGTTCTGATGGACCAGAGGACGTGTGGTAATTCATCCGCCCAAAGACCACCAGCCCGTTCAATTTTCTTTTTAATCCCGTCTGAGATTAATTTGTTGAAGGCTTTGACCTGGCCGTTTGCTTGAGGCCGGCCGACTGATGCAAAGAAGCTTGAGACCCCTTGTTCTCCTAGCCAAGTCTTGAGTTGAGGCGTCTCAAATTGAGGACCATTGTCAAAAACCATAGACATGGGCACCCCAAAACGAGTGATTATGCTCCTCCAGATGAAGGAAATGACATCTTTTGTCTTGATGTTTTTGACTGCCTCCGCCTCTACCCACTTGGTATAGTAATCCACAGCCACCAGTATATAGCGCTTGCCGCCTGGTGCAGCTGTATATAGCCCCAGAATGTCCATGCCCCATTTGGCAAAAGGTATTAGGCTGTGGATGGCCGTCAGGCCTGTGGCCGGACGATGGATGAGCTTGCCAAATTTTTGGCACTTGTCACATTTTTTTACCATTTCCATTGCATCCGACTCCAGAGTTGGCCAGAAGTAAAGCCGCCTGGCCTTGGCCGCGAGGGATCTGCTGCCTATATGGGAGGCGCAGAATCCCGAATGGAACTCTTCGAGGACTTCCTTACCCTTCTCAGGGGTAACACACTTCAACAGGGGTTTCAGAAAACCAGCCCTGAAGAGTTCTCCATGTCGCAACTTGAAGTTAGCCTCTCGTTTTTTCAGAATAGCCGCCTCATGTGGTGAGTCAGGGAGCGTGACGTCTGCAAGATAGGCCTGGATGTTGTCCATCCAGGTTGAGCTTCGGTCAAGAATTCCAATGGGGTCTTCCTCAGATATACTTCTTCTTTCCATGACCTCCAAGAAAACTGACCGAGGCGTTTCACAGGAGGCGGATGATGCCAGCTTGGACAGAGCATCCGCCAGATTGTTTGAAGACCTGGGCACTTGACTTAGATTGAATTCTTCAAGTATCCCAACTTCATCCTTGACCGCCTGCAAATATTTAATCATGGTCGGATGAGTGGCCTCGTACGTCCCATTGACTTAGAGTACGACCAGTTGTGAATCCGAGCAGGCGTCAATTTTCTTTGCCCCTGCTGCCTTACAGTACCAAATGCCAGCAAGCAGGGCTTCATACTTAGCCTCATTGTTAGAGACCTGGAACTTGAACCGTAGTGCATACTCGTATTTGTCTCCTTCAGGAGACTGACAGATAATTCCTGCACCACAGCCGTTCGCAGTGGAGCTCCCGTCTACATACACTTTCCAAACTTGACTAGTATCATCCGGAGCAACCGCCTTGTCATTTCCACAATAAAGTCGGCGAATGCTTTCCCCTTTATTGCTTTCCTTGGTTCGTAAGTGATTTCCAATCCTTGCATTTCAATCGCCCATTTGAGCATTCGTCCAGAAGACTCCAAGGTTGTGAGTGGCCGTTTGATCGTGGTCAGTATAGACTTCTACCGCATGCGCCAAGAAGTAGGGTTTAAGCTTCTTGATGGCCATGTAAAGGGCAAGGCCGAATTTTTCAACCATGGGGTACCGAAGCTCTGCATTTCTCAGAACATGGCTAATGAAATACACCGGGAGCTGGATGCCGTCTCTTTCAGCTAAGAGAACGGCACTGAGGGCATGATCAGAGACGGCTAAGTACATGAAGAGCTTCTCTTTGGGCAAAGGACTGACAAGCCTCGGCAAAGAGTGCAGATGAGTTTTCAGCTTTTGAAAGGCCGCCTCTGCATCATCCCCCCATTCAAAGTTTGTCTTCTTTTTTATTGCCTGGAAAAAGTAGAGGCACTTGTCGCCTAACCGACTGAGGAATGTTAGCTTTTGCACTTCCTTTATAGTACGGGGCGACTGCATGTCGATTACCGCCTGTATTTTCTCAGGGTTGGCCTCTATTCCCCTTTGGTCAATTAAAAATCCGAGAAACTTCCCAGACTCAACACCAAAGACACACTTTTTTGCTTTTAGCATGACCTTGTGCCGCATGTGTGTGGCAAATGTTTCTCGGAGATCAGCAAGATGATCCTCCTGTTGTTTGGATTTGACTATCATGTCATTAATGTACGCCTCTACATTTCTTCCGATTTGATTAATGAAGACCGTGTTAATCATTCGTTGGAAAGTAGCAGGCGCATTCTTCAAACCAAACGGCATCACCGTATAACAGAACAACCCCTGATCAGTGACGAAATCCGTCTTTTCTTGATCTTTTTTCCACAGGGGGATCTGATGGAAACCTGAATAGGCGTCCATAAAACTCATCAAGGCATGTCCGGCTGTTGAGTCGACCAGATTGTCGATCTTAGGCAATGGATAACTATCCTTTGGACATGCCTTGTTGAGGTCTGTGTAGTCAACACACATCCGTCAAGTTCCATTCGGCTTTTTTACTAACACAACGTTAGCTACCCACTCAGGGAAATTGCACGGCCGAATGAACTTGGCATCTAACAGCTTTTTTACTTCGGCAGCTGCCGCCTGACTTCTTTCTTCGCCGTGGTTTCTTTTCTTTTGCCGGATGGGCTTCTTTTTAGGATCCACGGCGAGTTTGTGGACAGCGAGATCCAGGCTGATGCCTGACATCTCCTCCACTTCAAAGGCAAAGATGTCTTTGAATTCTCTGAGTAGCTAGTGAAGGCTTTCACCCAGCTTTGCAAATGCAACCGTCCCCACCTTAACAGTCCGTTTTGGACGGATGTCGTCCAGATGGATATCAATGTGTTCACCAGTAGGCTGAGGACGGAGGTCATCTGACCGTTTCCCGGTCAATGATTGCTATTGTTTTTCTTTTTTGACCACCACCAACTGATCAGTCTTTCTTTTCTTTTCGGCTGGTAGGGCCGACTGTTCTTCCTCGACATCATCGAGGTCGATTGTTTGCTTGCCCCGACCGTATGCTACGGCCGCGGGCTTGACGTCCGAGAGGTAACACTCTCGAGCCGTCTTTTGGTCCCCATTAAGGGAACCGACTATTCCATCATCCTTCTCATACTTGAGTAGCATGAGAGCAGGGATGATGACGGCCTTACACTCGTTAAGAGTGGGACGGCCAAAGATGAGGTTGTAAGCTGTGAGCTCTTCAACCACTAGGAAACGGATGGTCATGTGCCGACCGTCTCCCCTGCTTCCCAGACGGACAGGTAAGTCAATTCGTCCGAATGGGTGCACAAGTCCTCCCCCAAACCCAACAAGGGTGTGGGAGACCTCCATCATGCTATCCGGTTTGTACTTGAGATTGGATAAGCATTTGAGGCTGATGAGGTCACAGGAGCTTTCTGTGTCAATCAGAATTCGGCCAACCAACTGGTTGGCGACCTTGCACTCAATGACAACAGGGTCATCATGCGGCCGACGGACTTGGCCTCTGTCCTACTCGGTGATGAAAACTTTAGGGAAGGTGGATATGTCTGCCGCATCCCCTTCCTCAACAGAGTTGACCATCTTTCTCAGATGGTCCTTGGTGCCCCGAATGGTCGGGCCACCACCGACAAATCTGCCTGCTATGGTGTATACCGAATCTTCATCAGTTTCGGCACTCACAGCAGGCTGGGGAGTCTTTTTCTTGGACTGCCCCGGATTTGCCTTTGAAGTCACTTTGGACTTCACATAGGACTTCAGCTGTCCTTTGTCGGCCAGACGGTCGAGCTCCCGCTTGAGACTAAAGCAGAAGTTCGTGTCATGGCCAACATCCTCATGGAAATGGCAATGCTTGTTTCTCTTCCGATTTTCAGCGGAACCTTTCATAGGAGTCGGCTTTTCTCCAAGAGGATGGAGCAGCAGTCCTTGTGGAATTCGTACCTTGGGACGTACGGTTTCCACTCCTTTTTCTTCTTCTGGGCCGGTTGATTAGAGTTATCAATGGCCCAGACTTGCTTTTTCTTTTTGCTCTCTTCTGGCTTAGGAGCCGGCTGAGCAGGCCGACTCTCTTTCTGCTGGTCGGACTTCTTATGGTCCGACTGCTTATTGGAGGAGAAGAGTTCGGTCGCCTGTATATAGGCTTCCGCCACTCGCAAGGCTCCTTGCAGAGTAAAGATTTGTTTGCGGACGAGTTCGTACTTGAAAGTAGACCCGTCCTTCAGACCCTTAAAGAAGTCTGTGAAAGCGACCTCATCAGACATCCCATGAATCTGGATTCGGACCAGATTGAACCGCCTGACGTAGGAACGCAAGCCTTCTCTATCTCCCTGTTGTACATTACCAAAGTCAAGACTTGTCTTTTTGGCATTCATAGAGAAGTTTGAAGCAAACAAGAACGCAAGCGTCTTGAAGCTATTTATGCAACCAGCCGGCAAATTGCCAAATCACTGCTGGGCTATGCCCTTTAGGGTGGCTGGAAAGCAACGACACCATGCGGCATCATCCAACCCCTGAAAATACATGAGGAGGGTGTATGCTAGCAGGTGGTCTTCTGGGTTGGAGGTCCCGTCATAGGCTCCAACCAGAACATTTTTAACTTTAGCCGGCTGTACGGCTTCAGTTATTTCCCTGGAGAAAGCAGAGGGTTGATCTCCAAGGTGTTGCAGCCTAAGCTGCCAGTCCATCGGCTGATAGCCGTATGCCGCATGTCCTCTAAAGAGGGCAGGTTGCATGTAAGGTAAAACTGGCGCCTGGTACAATGGTTGTGCCATGTACTGGGCCGACTGAATCATATGAGGACCAGACTGAACCCGTTGGCTACTTGCAGGAGTCTCATGTACAGACTGGGAACACCTCACAGAGGTATTCCGAAAGCTATCATGATAAGTCGACGTTGAAGCCGACTCTGATAGCTGGGTTCTCTTCTCCTCAATGTATTGCCGAGCGTCAAAGAACGTTTTCTTGCTACCATCCGGCTGTATGTGCCGGATGGCTTTTCTTGTGCCCATTTCTGGGAAATGAAGCCGAGTAAGGTCAAACTGGGGCCGGGCCTTCTCCTTAGGGGCAGGATGAGGAGTTGGCTAACGGTCCCTGACCGACTTATGTTTGCCAGCTTGGGCTGGCTTCTTTGCCGACTGCTCCTTTCTAGGAGCAGGTGACTTCTTTGAGGTGAGTTGTTTGATTTCACCCCTGAGGCTGCTCAGGAGTGTCATTAGTTCATCTCGAGTGACGGGAGTCGATCCTGCCGCCTGGGAAGGATCAACTGGCCGCCCCGAGGGCTTCTTTGGCTAACCAGCAGTTTTGCTTGGGTCTGCCTGGTCATGGTGGCGCTCCAGCCTCTCCTTACTGCGGATGCGTTTAGAGATGAGGGATCCATTTGGATCCACATAGGTTTCGACATCAGCGTCGTCACCTGAGTCATGATCCGTTTTGACCTCTACGTCTTCTGGAGGTCGATTGGCCTCTGGGTTCGGTACAGGTTCTTGTGAAGCCATTTCAGAGGTACTCTCCCCACAGACGACGCCAAATGTTTCGGGGGTTTTTGTCCCTTGGGAGAGTTACAACACTGAGACTGGATTCAACAAAGGATGCCTGCACCTGCAAAGCAAACGGACCGCCGGATGGTCGGTGGTCCGCCTCCGAAGATTAAGTTAGTAAGGGTTCGGTAATAAAACGTGCGGAAGTAAAGTTTATCTGCTCGAATTCCAAGCTCAGGTAAAGTGTTGTGTGTTCCTTGAAAACGACAGCTCTGTGGTAAGTGACGTGTTGTCTCGTATTGCGTGTATATTCTATGTTTTGTCATAAATGGAAGAATGTCCCTATTTATAGGGTCCTTTTGGAAAGTGTGCCCCTCCTAGGATCTAGTGACCTAGGAATTAGGTCACACCACTTTTTAAAGGGCCCCTTAAGATTTGGGCCTTGAAAGCCGCCAATCCCAGGGGGCAATATCTGCTCGACACGTGTCACCATCTGGATTGGGCCAACTAAGTGCCCCTTCCAGTGACACGTGTCATGCTCTGATTGGGCCACTTGGCAGGGTATAAAATACCCAAATCAATGAGCATCAATCAACTTTCTCAAATGAAGAACAGGCAAAGTATAAAAATCTCATGGAAGCTTCTGAAAAAGGCTTATACGAGGGGTGTACTACTTTACCGAAACTTTCATTTCGATTGCATTTGTTTCACCTAAAGTGTATGTTCCATTGGTCTGGAGAGTCATTTATTAAATTATTTGAACTTCTAATTGACGCATTTTCCATTATTAAGGAGTTTCCATCGTCCTATTATGAAGGCATGAAGATAATAAATGATTTAGGGTTAGGATATGAGAAAATCTATGCATGTCCAAATGACTGCATGTTATATTGGGGAAAATTCGCAAATAAAAGTGAGTGTCATATATGCCATACATCAAGGTGGAAAAGTGTGAAAGGAAAGGAGGGTGATGTAAATGAAAAAGGAAAAGAAGCATGTAAGAAAGGCGAGGCAGCTAGAGTAATGCGGTACTTTCCCCTTATCCCTAGATTAAAGAGGCTTTCATGTCATCTAAAACTGTAGAGGACATGAGATGGCACTTTAATCGTAAGGATGATAAGATTCTACGACACCCTGCTGATGGCAAGACTTGGAAAATATTTAATGAAAATATACAGAGTTTGCCGCTGATCCTCGCAGTGTTAAATTAGGCCTAGCAAGTGATGGTTTTAATTCATATCGTCTTATGAACACAAATTATAGTACATGGCCGGTGGTCCTCATTCCTTATAATTTACCACCATGGCTTTGCATGAAACCATCATCCTTTATTCTTTCTATAATTATTCCTGGTAAATTTGGTCCCGGTATGGATATTGATGTGTACTTGCAACCACTAATCCATGAATTGAAATTATTGTGGGAAGGTGTTGATGCTTTTAATTCTTAAGTGGAAGCAACTTCAAACTACGAGCAGCCCTACACTCTACTATTAATGACTTTGCGGCTTATGCTATGCTGTCAGGTTGGAGTACGAAAGGCTACAAAGCTTGTCCTTCTTGCACTCATTCTACTTATTCAGATAGATTTGGTGGCAAAATTATCTACCCTGGGTATCGAAAATTGTTTCCTATTGATCACCCATATCGTTCACAAGCTAATTTGTTTGATGGGAAAGAAGCTTACTGTGCATGAAGCAATATTTAATATCTTATTCATAATTATATAATAAATACATACTCTTTGAATGTGAGTGCAGGATATGTCAGAATGCGGTAAAAAAGCATGAGCCTCCCAAAATCAGTTTCATACATCTGGCTCTAAAAGTTTTGCAAACCGACAAGCTGATTATGTATGGAATATATATGTCATTTTATAATTACCTAGGATTGTATTTAGAGCATGTCTTTTTATATGTGATTGATATTGTTGACTTTTCATATTAAAGCTCTTGTTGCTTTATTATTTATAGGAAGATGAACATGGACAAAAAATGAGCTTGTTAGAGCTGTGGATTAAAACCCATACGGGTAAAGATGGAAGCTTTCTTCCTAACACAGTCACTGAAGTTTTGTGGTATGGTTTTGTGACAGATTTCTGGTATGATTTTGTGCAAATTTTAATTTGTGGTATAATTTGGTGCAAATTTTGTGGTATAATTTGGTATAGGATGATGTTAAAGCTAAGGTTGAAGAGTTGAGGATGATGCACCCTAAGATGTCTGAACAAGAGCTCGAAGATGAAGCATTTCAGCAAACTATGTATGGCAATGAGATTCCCAATCGTCCTGTAGGATACGGATTAGGGGTTAAAAAGGGGACATTTTCGGAGTACATGGTGTGTTAAGGAAGGAAGGGTATGGAAAAGTTCAAAAGAGGAATATTGTGATGGATAGTGTTAAAGAAGAAGTGAATGCTTTGCACAAAAAAAATGATACACTATCCCAAGAAAATGAAAAGTTGAAAGACCGGGTCGGACACAACAATCTTCTTCTTAAAGCGCTTGTTGGACAATTTTCTCAGATTGTAGGTGCAGTTTGTCAAGGGAATGCATCTCCGGATCTTTTAAACAAAGCATTTGAGTTCTTAGGAAAGGCAAAGCATCAAGTAATCTCTTTATAACTGAAATCAGAGCTGAAATCCAGAACTGAATTCAGATTTGAAGTTCAAAACTAAAAATTAGATTTGAAATCAAAATTGAAATTCAAAATGCTTGTCTGCCCTGCTCCCCTACTGCTTGTCTGCCATGCTCATTTGTAAAAAAAAAACTTGAAAAAACTTCAAGATTAGTATGTTGGGACTAAGGCTTTATTGTTTTTACTATGTATTATAGGAACTAGGAAGAGATCTATTGCCGACAGTTGGTTAATAAATTTTGTGGGACTAAGGCTCAAATCATGCATACAGCTACACAAACACAAATCATGCTACATTTATTAGCATATACAAAACCATAGCACAAGTTTGTGAGCTGAAACAGGTACATTTATTAGCATATACAGTCTGACAGTGATGTCAGCATAGGAAATGTACCCTGCTAAAAAAATGTTATGTATTTCAGCTTTTAGTGTAACATTATAACTTACCTACCTACTCTAGGTGGAAAGCTGCCTAAATGGTCATACTTAAATACAATTTGTTTTTGGTAGTTAATTGAATTTGTCATCTATTTATACAGGACAAAGTTCTAGCTATAGTGCTCTACTCTTGTGGCTATGCAGCAGTGATATTTTAGTGTTTTATCTTGCCAATATTTGGAAGTCAAGGATGTTTATAGCCTCACTTTAGAAAAATCGTGTTTATCATTAACATGATTGTTTACCCTCTTTTTGACATTAGAGGCCTTCTGTTTTGCATGGTTTTATCAGATTCCCATTCTAAGGAATTGTAAAGCTTGACCAATTAGGAAGTTGGACAAGACCCCAATTTATTGATGTGTAAAGCTCTGCTAAATGATTTGATCTTGTGAGCGTCAGATTGGGTTGTATGAAAATTTTGACATCATTCTTGTTTGAGGGTTAACTCTTTGCTATATATTTAGTGAAATAGGAATAAATAAAGAAGCATTACATGTTCAAAGATATGATAAAGCTAGTAATACTTTAGTTTTTTCATATGTGCTAATCTTGTATAGTTGTGTACTAGTGTATTAAGGAATAACTGTCTCAATAAAGTGGTATAATATATTGGTGGTGTTGGCTTAGGTAGACCCCACTCCCACTCCCACTTGATGTTTCACTTGCACTGCACATGTAACTTCTTGTGGCGATAGAACTGGAGAGGAGTGCTTTTCAATTAATTGTGGTGTTTCTGGATTGACTGTTGGCTTTGGCAATGAAATTGTGAACAGACATTTGTAGGGTTGTATCATGTATGTGTTTGACAATCCTATGTTTGTTTCATGGAAAATGACAGTCTTTGTGCCTTGAGTATGGTTAGCACACCTGTAGGCGTCGTTTGAAGTGCGCCTACGTTGAAAGCATGTATGAATATGCTTGGCACTCATAGGAAGTGGGAATTGACATAATACAATTAGGGACAAATAAAGTAGGGAGCCTCCAACAAGTTTTTAAAGAACTTGTAAACCGTTCACGGATCATAAAAGGCAACCAAGAATAAGGGACAACGATAGGCAACAAAGATTGACCCGTGAAGGTTACACCCCATTCATAGTCCATGAGATTACTAACTCCATATGGTTTGGAACCACGAAAGGAGGATCGGGAATGATGGTACGAAGTGAGTCATGGAGTCACATTCGCCCGTATTGGCCTCTACTCGATTCTTATAGTGAAAAGTGATTCCTGAGATCTCAAAGGCATACAAACAAAATATTCAATTTGCTCCAAACTATTATTAAGCTAAATTGGTTGAATATTAATGCAACACATAATTCTAAAATATTTGTGATCACTTGAATTAAGCAACAAGATTAAAAAGGAACCTAAACCGGCTGTCCAAATTATCTTATTAGGCGTGATTTTCAATTACATATTCCCTTTAACATGCAATATGGTGATCATAATAACAATAGAATAAACATTAATATTGGAAACAATTTAACAATAATAACGTTAGTCAAATCAAATATAAAATAACCCTAATCATGATACTAGCAATAAGAAAATAAAATAAGAGTAATTAAATCAATTAATTACTCACATTCCACGCGTTCCTTTAAATATCTACATCATGAATAAATTGTTAGTAACTTCAATAAAAATATAAAGCAAATGAAAATTAAATTAAATAAATATAGATTTGATTTGGTCCAAACCCTCAATTATTTATACCTTTCATGCCTGGATTTAAGGACGAAACCTCGGGTTTAGTATAGACTCCTTGGAGTGCTTAAGGGAAGAATGGTGTAATTAGGAATATAGGTTTAAGGAGAATTTGGGAGAAAGAGAAGAGAATGATTTTTGGTGTAAAAGAGAGAAAGAGAGAAAGAGAGAAGGATTCGACGATCAAGCTTGTTGATGATTGGAAAAGGGGTGATATGACCTCTATTTATAGAGAAAAAAAGAAGGGTCGAAGAATTAAGATAAGATCGAGTTTGAATCGGATTAAAACTCTTGCGATAGACAGCAGTTTTTGTGGTTTTTGTTTTTATCATATCTTTTGATCCAAAAATCGGAATAAGATAAATAAGATATCTTTGGAAAGCTCTTGAAGTCTAATTTTTAACCCAATTAGAATCAGATTAAAATATTTTGTAGAACAAAATATATAGCCGAAATAGTGAGACGGTATCAGTTTTGGATAGAGTTTGATATTATAATATATCATTGGAAAGATAATTTCAAGGTTTATCCAACCATATAAAATTTGGATAAAAACTATGAGGCAAAAAAATAATATTTTTCTATCTTTGAATGTCTTTCAATTCGGATAATATTAGGACTTAAAAAAAAAGGAGTTTTATTCAATTTCAAACTCTTTAATCTTATCTTTAAAGGATCATTAGGATCTTTTAGAAACTTATAGAATCTTCTAATTAATTCTAATTGGTTTAGGAATGGGATTAAATAATTTGGACCCTCCACATGATCATTGGGTCGTAGGTAAGGTGGGCTTAGGTTCGGTTTGGGCTCGGTTTAATATTTTGGCCATAACTTATTCGTTATAACTCGGATTTGGGTTTATAATTTATCGTTAGAAAGATATTTTCAAGCTCCATCCAACTATTCAATCACTGGACCCAGATTATGGACCAAAATAAACTGAAATAAACGTTTTTTTTTAAAAGGACACGAAATAAATGATTTTAAAGGACACAAAATGAATTGTTTTGGGTTTAAAGGCACGAAAAGAGGAAAATAAGTTATGATTTGGGGAAATGAGATAGAAGTTGGGTTGGTTTATGAAATGGAAATATGGATTTAAGCACTCCAAGAGATTAAATACTCAACCCGACCAATAATGGCGGTGAAAGGTTGTTCATCATCGGGTTTGGTTTTGGGTAGAAATTTTTAGGTGTCTACAAAAGCCCCCACTTTGACTGAGTTTGTAGAAACGTCAGTTTCAAAAACGATAGTCAAAGTAGTCGATATGGACGGAGAATGAGTTAAGACGTTCTGCGATCCTAAATCACTCTGTATACGCCGATACCTGCAGAAAAATGTTAATTCCACAGATAAAAGAGTAAAAGGATAGAATACGTATCTGGCACCAGTGTATCGGTGACAAATGAGTTTGGCAGCTTCCTATGCTTGAAGGAATCCACTAGATGACGTTTGTTGAAACGCTTTCCATGGTTGAGGAAAGCCGACATATGAGTTTGGTAGCTTTCTAAGCCTAAAGAAACCTACTGGATGACACTTTCCATGCTTGAGGAAAGTCGACATATGATTTTGGCGTTTTTCTATGCTTGAAGAAATCCACCGATAATGCTTTCCATGCTTGAGGAAAGCCGACAAAGGAATTTTGCGGTTTTCTATGCTTGAAGAAATCCACAGGATAATACTTTCCATGCTTGAGGAAAGTCGACAGATGATGAGATTGCAAGTCTCTGTGTATCGAGAACCTTGCGTCATGAAATGTTGGTGGTTCGATTGTCCCCGAACGTGGGCTGTAGATGGTTTGCTTGTCCCCGAACATGGGCTGTAGATGGTCCGCTTGTCCCCGGACGTGGGCTGTAAATGGTTCGCTTGTCCCCGGACGTGGGCTGTAGATGGTCCGCTTGTCCCCAGACGTGGGCTGTAGATGGTCCGCTTGTCCCCGAATGTGGGATAGTTGTAAATGGTCCGCTTGTCCCCGAACGTAGGCTGTAAATGGTCCTCTTGTCCCCGGACGTGGGCTGTAGATGGTCAGCTTGTCCCCGGACGTGGGCTGTAGATGAGACCTGCAAAAATAAATATGCCAATGGACTCGTATATATTGTGATTAACTTGACCACTGACTTGACCAAGTTTGACTTGATGTGACATGACATGTGTATGACTCGTGAGTGTGTGTGTGTGTATATGTATGTATGCAGACACAAGCAAACGAAGATGCAAAAGCAAAAATTTTCCGTCAATTTTTGTCATGAGTGGAGGGTGCTGACTTTCTCCCGAAAAAGAAAGATGTGAAACTGAACTTTTATTTTTGAACTTCCCTCGATGAGAAAATTTTGAAAAAGTTTTTTTTTTAAACTTCCCCTAAAGAAAAGACGCGAAAAAAGGAAAGAAGTTTTGAACTTCCTCGTTGAGCAAGACAATATGAATCGCATGGATTGAATTGATTTTCTTGAAAGTAATGTATGCATTATGCATGTCCTTAGGCCAGGAGGCTAAGGACAATTACATCATGTGACACGATGAATGAACTTAGGTCATGGATCTAAGCATCATATATGGTGTAAAGAAACGATCTTGAACGTCACTTAGGTCTGGAAGCTAAGCACGTATACAGATGAAGTGATTATTGCATAATGAATGTTGCTTAGGTCAAGGAGCTAAGAACGATATGCTTTGTATATAAATGTTCCTCAGCACATTATGCGATGCATGAAATAATAAATATTGCTCAGGTCAGGAAGCTAAGCAAGTATACAATGTTTCTTCTAATGAATGTTGTCTTTAAATATGATGAAACATGCACAGTGTTGAAACAAGATTTCATGATAAAGGGCCCTTAAAAGGAAGGATGATTGATATGGATATGGATGTGTGAGTGAATTGTGTGAATGTGATACTAAGGCTGGCTGCAAGGGTTATGGCGATGGAAAGAGATGTGAGAAGAGTCAAAGATGATGAATCTTTAGGCTAGGTAGGCTAAATGATGTAGGTTCAAGCCCCCAAGTCTAGCTCTAAATGGGTAGGGGTAAGCGTTGGATATTCTTTGACTCAATCATGCATGGATATGAATATTGAATGTGGATATGAATGTGGCCGCACCTCGATGTGAGGTTG